CTATAGTTCGCCAGCATTTTTCTTTCTTTGTTCTGTCGTGGTAGTCCCTCGATGACACATCATACAGGCAGGAGTACTGCTGCCACAGCTCCACGAACCTTTCCTCCATCTCATAATTCTTTCATTTCGCCATGTTTGAGATCTGTGTATGAAAGAGCTTCTGGGCTGCTATTGGTCAACGTCACCAATGTGACAGAACTCGTCGTGGACGGCAGAAAAAAAATTAAACATGCTAGTCTTTCTGTTGTGAAGCATCGCAGACGCGGAAACGGTTGTCGTCCACTATGACACACTACGAGCTGAAACGATGGAATCTTGCGTCCCGACGCCCATTGTCGTTTACGAATCCCCACAACACCCTACGTAAAGCAAATCGTGGCAAAATCGGGCTAAAATCGTGTAGTCTGAACCGGGCATAATACCCTACACAAATATAAATACAAATACAAATGTGTACAATTGAATATAAACCTGTATAGGTTAAAGGTCCATCTCTGAACTTCTCAAAAGCCTGCCAAGAATGGTGACAGCATGTATTCAGCACAGAATGCACAGATTTTCCTTGGATTCCTACTAACTGCTGACAGTAAACAACGTCCATATGCAGCATAACATCATGCAGATGTTACACATGTTTGAAGGCCTTATCAGTGTTAGTGCATAGAGCGGAGAGCAGCTTCTGCACATCACAAGATAGGAAACACATGCTAACATCACCTAATCAGTCTAAATAAACAGCTCAACTTCTGGTGAAAAGCATATGAGGAGAAAACAGTGGCACCAAAACAAATATTTAGGAACTGGATAGTGCGCTGGGTAAATTTGGTGTGAATTTTTTCCACAAACACAAAACGAGATCACTTGAGTCAGACACTCATGTGTCAAACTTTCCAAAGGCTTTATCTTTGAAATGCTCATAACCACTGCCTTTTTTTAAAACAAGTGTGAAGTGGTTTGCAGGACAGGGGAAATAACTACGTGCAAAAAAATGATGCTAGGTGCTTCCTCAGATCTACACGTTTCTGAGCCATGTGTGCACTGACTGTTCCACTGAAGCTCGAGAACAACAAAGTGTCTTTTTCTTCTTTTCTATTCTGTAAAACACAACAGAAGATATTTTAAAAGCGTCACCTTTGTTATAAACCCCACTGACTCAAACTGCATAGACTAAAAACAGTTTAAAATATCTTATTTTTTCTTCTGCAGTTGAAAGAAAAGTCTTACAGGTTTGGAATGACATATAGGTGAATAAAGGCTGACAGACTTTTACACATTTGAGTAAAATCCTTTGAAGTCAAGGCAGCCAATCCTGCTTCTGGAGAACTACAGTAGAGCAGAGTTTAGCTACAAACCTAATCAAACACACCTGAACCAAAGTGATAAGGAGTAACTACTACCTAGCAAATTAAAACTATTCTTACTATGCAAAATAGGTTTGTAGTAATTAGCTCAAAACATCTGGTATAACATGATTTGAAGAAATAATCATTACATTGTTACAAATTAAGTTTCACTTAAGTTCACAAATAGGTTTCTTGACCTGGAGACCCCCTTCTTATTTTAGATGTCAATACAATATAAATGAGCTGGTGACTTTAATCAGATGTGTAAAATCAAGGTGACATTCAAAATGTGGAATGGACCTAGGTTCTCAGAATTCATCATAGTTGGGTAGACTTCTATTGTAGTGATTTTAACATTCGCAAAAGAAAAACAACATTTTCGGATAATTCAAAATGTTAGAAAATCTTCACCTGTAAAAATTTACATTTTGGTAT